CATAGCTCAGAACTAATATGATGTTAGGAGATTTTCCTGTTCTCTTGCTGTTCACAGTAGGCATGCAAGGCTATAGCTTTGACTAAATTTCCAATTAGCTATGTTTAATCTGAGTATGTCCCAAAGAGGGCTCAGAGGTTCTGTGTGAACATGCTGATTCTATTCCAATTCACCTTTTGCTCCTTCCTTTCCAAAGCAGTTCACATCCAGTGGAAGGAACAGATTTGAAAATGGTGTGGAGGCACTGTGCATTGGAATGAATGTAAGAATCAGTGCTCATAGGAAGATCTGTGTGTCACAGTGCAGACAGGTCCAGATGACCCATCCTTGTATACTTGTATGGTATGGAAGAGAGATGATTTCTTTTGTGAGCATCTCTGAACAAACATGGAACGTCACAAATATTTGGTCATTCACTTTCTCTGGGGAAGCATCCAGCATTCTCTGTAGCAGCACCCAAATTGTGGAACCCATTTAAAGAAGGTCAGGCTGATTTTATCTCCTCTGAGTTTCTAGCAAGTAGTAAAGACTATGCTATTTCACTTGGCCTTTGTAGTTTAAAATGAGAGGTGTCTGCTGTGAGTGTTTTTAAAACTATTTGTCTGGTCTTAGAGCTATTCTTAAAGAGAGGTATGGGATGCTTTAATTGATATATCCCCCAAAATGGGTACAAAGAATCCTGGATAAGTTCTTACATGCTCCCCAATATATGTAAATCTATTCCACCTTAATGATCCCAAGAGTAGGGGAGTGTTGTGAAAGTACAAGAGAAACTTTCAGTGAGGTTTGCAACTCTGTGCTTCATCAATGCGAAATGGTGTATTTCTTACTTAATTTTTCTCAGAGCAAAATTAAAAGGCAATATCATGCTTCTACAGAGATGAAAGTTAACACAGTGTATGTGTGTTGTTGTAAGAGATAACTGCTTTCCTATCTCCTTGTTGTTATAAGTCTGTCTCAGGACAATGGATAAAAGAAGCAGATTGATGAAGATGGAGAAAGCCTTTTACTTTAATTGCAAATCAGAGAGAGTTGAGGGGCAAAGAAGCCAATGGAAGATTGATTGCAAGTCTTCTGGGGTTCTTTCACAGTACACAATTGAAGCACTATGTCTCCACTTTAGCTGTCTTGGCAACATCTCTTATTTGGGGAGATGCGAGAACAATTCACTGAAAGAAAATAACTAAGTCCATAGGATGTTGCCATGGTAGTTAACATGGAATCATAGCACTATAACTGGGCAATGTAAAAGGACCTCTAATGTATTACTTGGAACTGGGAGGAGACATATGGTCGTAATTCCAATCACAGACAACCCTATGCATGCTCACTATGTTGTAATATAAAGATCAAGGATGGCTGCACTGGACCATTACTGGAAAAACAGTGGTGAAGGGTGAAAAAAATATCCACAGCTAAATCCAGTGTTAATCCCACATAGAGCAAACCCAGTGAAATAAATGACACCTGTATAAGTGGTGATTAACAACTTTGATTCATTTTTGTGGGGCTAATCTACTTGGGGATAGCCATAGGATTCATAGGGAGCATGTGAGCTAACCACTTTTTAGAGTCTTGGTCAGATATGTATTCACCTTGCATTATGTCCTGCTAGTTTGGATCCTTCAACTGGAAATGTCATGTTGGGTTTGGGACTTCACCCTTGCAAAACATTTATTCTATCTTTTAATCTGTGAAAGCGAAGAAGGTGGTTTGATGGGTTCACCAAATGCCTCAAAGAAAAGGCATACAACAGAAACTTTATCAGCCAAAGAGTGGATTGAAAACAAAAGGAAGAACCAGGGTTAGCAGAATGTATGGCCTCCATTGAGGTTTATTTTGATTCTGTGGCACAACCCTGATGTTTCCAAGCTACACCTTTATGGATAAACAGGTGCTTCTCCCTTTGGTAGCAGCATGATTCATTCATTGATGCCACATCTCAAGGTTCTGTGCCACTGTAATTCATCACGAGAGACATAGTGATGTGATATTGCCTTTACAATATCTCTGCAGGCAGTGGATAAGAGGAAAATATTGATAAAGGGGAGAGAAAGACTCGTGTTTTAAATGCAAATTTCTTGGCAATCAGAAAGAAGGGAAAGAGTTTAATGAGGTCCTAAAAGATTAGCAGAGGAATTTAAATCAATGATTCCCTAACTGCTATTTAGAATATCAAACTGGTATTCTAACCTTTTATAAAGTGCAGTTACAAACTCTTTGAGGCCTAAAATGAGTATCCAGTCTGGGTCTATGGTAGCTTCCAATCTGTTACTGGATGTCATTGTTGAACCTTCCTTCTACCTGACATTAAAACATGTAAATAAATATAATGAACATAGTGCTGTACATTGGGTTACGTCTGTACCAAATTTGGAAACTTCAATTAGTTCAAAACATGGCAACCAGTTTGGTTATAGGAACATCTAGGAGTGAGCATATTACACTCATATTAAAGTCACTCCACTGGTTGCCACTTAGTTTATGTACAAAGTACAAAGTTTTGGTTTTGATTTTTCAGTGCCTTACATGGTTTTGGTCCTGGTTACCTACAGGATTGCCTTCTCCTGCACAATCTACCTCTTAGGATGCTGAGGTCCTCTGGGGACATTTACTCCAACCAGCTAGACTGGCAACTGTCACCTGAGACCTTTTCATTGGCACCTCCATGACTTTGGAATGGTCTGCTGGAAGAGATTCAACAGCTAAATGAGCTGTCAAAATTTAAAATAGAATTAAAAACCTATCTTTTCCAGCAGGCCTACTCATCAACTCTGAATTATGAATTTTGAATTTGCATTATATTACCACTACATGTTGATTTTTGTATCCCATGTTTGGTATATGTTTTTATAATGGTGTGTCATTATCTATGTATTTTGTTGTGTGTAATTTATGGATATATGTTTTGACCCTTTTGTACCCTGCTTTGAGCTGTAAAAATTTATTATTATTATTATTATTATTATTATTATTATTATTATTATTATTATTACTATTAGTGATACTGAAGGAACAGAGCTTGGAAAAGTTACCTTTGACTACAGTTCCCAGAATACCCTGACTAACACAGCCAATGGCTTGTTGGTGGTGGGGGTTTAAGGGGATTCTAATGCAAATAACCTAATTTTCCAAGCTTAGGTCACTAGACAGTTATAGGACTATTATTCTACTTCAGTTAACAGAGGCACATCCTATGGAATCCTGACATTTGTAGTTCAAGAGCACTAGAGCTTCCTGATTGGGAATTCTAATGGATCCCTTTTAAACAGGAAATCCCAGGATTCTATAGTCTGGGGCCATGGATATTAAAGCAGGATTGCATCACTGCAAGTTAGGAAGAGCATGCAGTAGAAAGTAACAAGGGGAAAGTGAAACACTATCTGCCCAAAGGGTCAATTCTTTTGTACGTACCCAACTGAAGGACCTATGCAAAATCACAGCTTGGAGCCAGAATAACACCTCTGTTCTCTAATTCACCATCTTGGTGAGGTTGCATCTCAAAAACTGGATGGCTTATTTAAACTGAAGACAGCCAGGAAAGAAGACTATTACAAATGTAATCATCTAGAATTATCATCAGTGTCATTAACACATGATTGCTTCAATTTTATTATCAGTGCTCGAATAGGCTTCATGAACACAAGATGGAGAAGAGCCATAAGAACATGAAAAAAGGGAGAGTCTAGTCTGCAATTTTTTGTATTCGATGGTGCATCAACACATTCTTTGATCCAAAATACTATGTTGTTTCTGCTTTATCATGGAACTTCATAGCTATAAGCAATGCCACAATAGTTCTTGTTACCCTCAGAGCAAGTCCTACCTTCAAAATGCAAGCAGAATATGAGTTGTGGAAGAGAAATGTGAAAGCACTAGCCTTGGTTGACTTTTATTATTATTATTGTATTCATCTGAAATTCTTCAAAAACTGAGAACATAACAAATTGATGTTTGGATTTTTAAAGTAAAAATTAACAAAAAAGCCCCCCTTTGTTTTTTGGTTTTTTTAAAAAATAGAAAAACAAAACAGAAAGAAATTAGATTGTTTATGTGTTTCACTTTTAAGGATAGATTCTCAGAAAACTCAATTTTTACAATGTACACAGAAATTCGATGAAATTCTGTTCTCTATTATATAAATGCTTAACTCACAGCAAGCTTTGGAATTAAAAAAATAAATAGAAAAAAAAAGAAAGACTTGGAAAAATCAGTTAAAATGAAACAGACTGCAGTTGCCTGTTGGAAATTACACTGTCATATCTATCCTATCAGGAAAAAAGCCATCAAACCATCAAAATGTATCTAGCCTTGAAAAGAGAAATTGAGTCCATTTCAGATTGCGACAATCAGTATTGACTGTTCAGTGGATACATTTTGAAGCATCATTGTTGCAGGTAACATGGCACAGCTTGGTATTTGTTTTGAACTGATTACACTTTAGTTCTTCTCAAATTGCTCAAGAAAAAAGAGAATATCAATAGTGTGAATCCACAGCCATGTTAACTACATTCCAAATCCCATGGACAAATGGAATATCGGTGTCACATTTTCATATCCGTCGAAAAGGATTAAATAATAGATGTGACATTAGGTAGACATTTGGAGGAATAGTGGTCCGAACTTTTAACATACTCATAAAAATAATATGCATGTTGCCTTTTTTTCTTCTCACACCAGAACCAGTTCAAAAACCAATCCAAATGTGTAGCACAAGGGTTCAGAGAAACTGAGCAGGCTGTGGTTGAAGAATGTTTGGATTCATTCAAAGATGGCTTCCCAAAATGATGGAATATTTGCTTTTTACTCCCACCAACTCCATGGGATTGGATGCTTGGCTTTATGCATTTATATTGGATATATACGATTCTACACATATATATACATATATTACATATACATATATAAGTGTAGATATATATGTATACATTCACACACATATATATATGTAGACATTGTTTATTGAAAATGGGAAAAAGCAAGTGAGAAAGAAGACTGACCTGGCTTACCTACACTCTGTTCACATTCAATGAGATCTTCATCATCATTAGAACATTCTGCTGAAGAAACGAGGTCATCTGTTGTCTAGTATTTCAGAAAAGAACAGAAAAGAAGAGAAATGATGATCAGATAAAAGGTGAGATGTTAAAAATAGCTCAAATTGGGAGTAGGGTCCCAATCCAAATATAATTGTGGTATCTACAAAGACAATAGCGGAGGAGCATCGCTAGTGCTTCAAAAACCTTTTTGGACTGCAGCTGCCATAACCTTTTGTAGCACTATCACTAGCTGGCAGGAGGAGACTGGTTACACTGTCTTCCAGCATCCCACAACTCTATCACTCAGAAAAGTTGGCTTTTAAGTTGCTTTTCAAGGATCCAACGAGAAGATGAATCAATGCTTTAATAATAATAATAATAATAATAATAATAATAATAATAATAATCTTTATTTGTACCCCGCTACCATCTCCCCAAGGGACTCGGTGTGGCTTACATGAGGCTGAGCCCACAATACATCAATATAAGCAATAACAACAACAATAAAAACAATTAAAATAAACTCATAAAAAAGCAATAAACAATAACAGTAATACAACACACATTTAATATTTTAGCTATGCTTCTGATGTAGTATCTTGGCCAATATTTGCAAACTTTCACCTTCCTGCTGACAAAGGGTGTCCTAAAATGTTGTCAAAGACTCCGAGGGACTTAACATTTCATTTTTGTGGGTAGTTTTGTAAGTTTTGGTACCAAAATTGTTTTTCTTAAATGATCATTTTATCTGCAAATAAATACAAACATTTACAACATTTTCACCCAAAACTCTCAAGTGTGAAAAATTATTGAAAAATGCCCCAATCTTGACCAGTGGGGGAAAACTTGAAAATATTCATTCCTGTACATAAGAACTAGCTAAGATTTACATCCATAGGTGAGAATATCATTTTCTCAATAGTCTTTTCGTACAGCTACTGTACACTCACGTATAAGTTTTAAAATTTTAGGCCAAAAAAAAATCACCCATAAAACCTGAGTTGATTTATTGACTAGTCAACATGGGTACAGCAACCTGTTATCAAAGAAGAAAAATCGCCTTCTCTGAGTAAATTGGTGAAAGGCAAGAGCATAGCAAAATGGGTTAAAACGTTGTGCCAGCAGGACTGAAGATCAACAGGTCGGATGTTCGAATCCAGGCAGAGCGCAGATGAGCTCCCTTTGTCAGCTCCAGCTCCCTCATACAGGGACATGAGAGAAGCCTCCTACAAGGATGGTAAAGCATCCAAACATCCAGGTTTCCCTTGGGCAATGTCCTTGCAGACAACCAATTCTCTCACACCAGAAGTGACTTGCAGTTTCTTAAGTCACTCGCTCCTCACACACACACACACACACACACACACACACACACACACACAATCTCATAAGAACCTTAAAAAGGCCTCAAACCTGGACTCCCTCTGCTCTGGCATTGCTTTTTGAATGCCTGGGTGGGAAAATTTATTATTATTTATTATTTACTTTATTTATATACCGCTTTTCTCAGCCCTCAGGCGACTCAAAGCGATGAAAATAGCTACATTGGCAACCAGGGGAAGCTGGCTTCTTGAGGTGGTATCGATGCCTCCCCCTCTTCATGGAATGGCCTTTGACTTATCCATGGGTCATATCAAAAGCCATTACTGTGGTTCCAAAACCTGCTCTCATTTTATACATGAGGTTATCTTATGCATAAGTATATATGATAATCCTTTCAGATAGATTTTCAAAAAGCGGTAGTATGGAGATCTGCCACCCTGTTCAACTGGCAAGACAGCACATTCCTTATTGGTACCTATCACATAAAATACTCTACTAAATGCGCCAGGATGGATTCCAGTGGCATATTAAGGAAATAGCTGGAGGTAAATGGCAAAGGTAAAAAGGTTAGCTCCAAAAAGCTAAGAACACATCAAGAACATCCATGGACCCAGCACATGTCCCTTGCACATTCCAGCTGGTAATTTTCTCCTCTCCCCTGGTTTTCTGGTGGCTGTTCTAATTACCGAGCAGCATGTACCTCTGTGTTAAGGAGAAGTGTAATGGCTTCTCTCCCCAGCAGCAACTCCTTCATGTAATTGCTGCAATTAGTTGAATTACTAATGGAGACCATTAGGAAGTTTCTCAGGAAGCCTCTGGACTCAGACTATATGGCTCAGCCACAAGAGTACAAAATTACCCTGCCCTCAGCAACGTGAGCTCAAAAGAAGTCTGACATGAAATTCATTTTGCTTCGCTATTTCTCTCTTGCATGCATAAAGGGTGCTGCTCACATAGGGCTGTGGGGTCTCGGTAATAAGAATTCCTGAATCATATGCTCCAGAGAACCCATCTCGATGTGGCTGGATGGAGCTGGCAGGCTTGCTCTTTACCCGAACATTTTTGGAAGCCGCTTACAGTGATCCGCAGTCTTTGGATTCAGTGCAGGAGGATACTTACTCTATCTTTCACTATAGGTTTTTATGTTTTCTGGTTACTGGAATGAAAACATGACCATCTTACAGCTAAGAAATGGATGTGAGGATTTTACTTTAGTGGGTTTTTAATGCCAATTTCAGCACCGCCCTGGTCTCCACTACCAGGATTGAATTGGATAGCTACATTGTACATAGAAAAAGATTCACTTTTCAATTTTATGTAAACATACAACACGAGACTTTAATCAGCAAAACCTCAGCTCCTATCATCTCAGCCAGCATGAGCAAAAGTTAAGAATCATGGGTCTAAAAGACAAACAATATATCCCCTGGTATACATACATTCCCCCACCTCTACTGTTAACCAATAAGACTTTTTGGATACAATAGAGGTCTAACACAATGTGAATGAACTACACAGGAGATGATGTAGGATGTATGGTACTTATAGGTACAATTGCATAGCTACTGAGCTATCAGAAGGATAGCTGAAGAGATTCTGGGGCTTGAAGTCACTGCTGCATGATGGCAGCCATGTCAATTGGGTAGTGAATTTATTTTGGGTAGTACTTTGACCCTTAAATGAGGAATGCAAGGTACTGAACCCTATCTCTCCAATAAGTGCATTGCCTTAGATAGCTGCTTTAAAGTTTTAATTAAAATTTTAATTAACCCTCCTGACATGGGAGCCACCAGTTCTCACTGCCTTAAGCTGTGCCAGTTTTAAGAAGAATCAAAAGCATTGCTGTGTGGGAGAGGAATTTATATATTTAGAGGCTACCCACTTAAACTGTGCAGAAATCTGGTTCTGACCATCCATCACTATTCCTCTTTCATTAATCTCCCTTCAAGAAAGAAACTGTGAAAGGTGGCCACAACAGAAATATGTAGATACGTGAAGCTGTCTCTTATGTAGTATAGCCTGAAGCTAACTGTGATCTGTGAAGCCAACCAGCATCACAGTGTGGTCAAGATGAGAAAAGATATCAATAAGCAAGTTGGGAGAGGCAATAGCAATAGCCATCAAATGCTAATCAAGGTGGTCAGTTGAAACATTCACACCTAGCTCCAACAGACAAGAGTTCTTTGCTCCACCCTGGTCATTCCACAGATATATAAACCCACTTTCCTAGTTCCAATAGACCTCACTACCTCTGAGGATGCTTGGCATAGTTGCAGGCAAAACATAAGGAGAAATGGCCTCTAGAACATGGCCATATAGCCCAAAAAATCCTACAACAACCCAATAGCAATTTGTTTTTGTCTGACTCAACTTTGAAGGGGAAGCATCCATGCCCCTATTTCCTCTCATCCTTGCTGAGTTAACTGAGTATAAACTACTTTTGTGCTTTGAGCTCAGTTTGTATCAATTCAATTACACAAGTGGGGAAAGTAAAAAGTGGGAAGAGAGAGAACCTGGGACATTTTCAAAGCAGTTGGAAAAGTGGGATGATGAAGGAGCAACTGAGACTGTCCTTGCCAAATTTGGAGAGTTGGAAGTATGGTACAATCACAGGTGAAATAGTGAGCTGGATCTGCATTCAATATCTTGGCATATGTATGTGTGATTGGAAAGTGATGATGACTTTTATATAAGAAAATCCAAGTAACTGAGCAGAGCTTTAAAAAAAGAAGCAAAGCTACCTGCCTTCCTTGACCCTTGGTTGAGGAGCAGCCAATTTAACTTGCTAGTTGATTTTTGTAAGAGGCATTTCTTAAATGTAAGTTTCTATTTGCAATCCTTTAGTGATGCCCTTTTGTGCAGTGGTGCAGATAGAGGCATCTTTGCAAAAAAAAGGAAAGTGCAAAATTTATGACAAATCATTGCTCAACATCACACCTGTAGTGGAGGTGAGAAGACCCACAACTGAAACTTTTTGTTGGGACTGTATGTTTTGATCATAAATGGGACATTTGTAAAAATTCCTCACATTCTCAACTCTGAACTGAACCACCTAAACTGGGCTCTACAGGCCAATGGATACTCCACCTCAGACATCAGAAGAGCTGCAAGACCAAGAACAAGCCACAAGAATAAATATGAAGATCCACCCAGAGGAAAAGTGCTCTTGCCATACATCAAGGGAACCACTGACCGCATAGGGAAACTAATGAGGAAACACAACATACAAACCACCTACAGACCCACCAAGAAAATCCAACAAATGCTACGTTCAGCAAAGGACAAGAGGGATCCTCTCACCTCTGCAGGAGTCTACCGTATTCCATGCAGCTGTGGACAAGTCTACATAGGGACCACCAAACGCAGCATTGCCCAAACACGAATCAAGGAATATGAAAGGCACTGCAGACTACTTCAACCAGAGAAGTCAGCCATAGCAGAGCACCTGATGAACCAACCTGGACACAGCATATTATTTGAGAACACAGAAATGCTGGACCACTCTAACAACCACATGTCAGACTACACAGAGAAGCCATTGAAATCCACAAGCATGTGGACAATTTCAACAGAAAGGAAGAAACCATGAAAATGAACAAAATCTGGCTACCAGTATTAAAAAACTCAAAAATTACAACAGCAAAACAACAGAGAGTAAACAATCAGGCACATCAAATCACTCTCAACAAAAGATTTCCCCCAGGCACTTCCAAGCCATTAAAT